AAAAGGCCAAAACGGGAGCAGAAAAGTATGATTGCAACGTACTGTTCACATACCAATCTGACGTCATGCAATGAAGTACCAATTTGCTGCATGAAAACTGGATGAAAGTGATGGCATTATTATTATTATTATTATTATTATTGTTATTTCCTTTTTATCTAATTTATAAATGGCTCTCATAAATTTCCACCAACTTTTCTATTCTATTTTACATCACATAGGTACTAAAAACAAATTCTCAAAATTTATTCGAATAAGTTAATTTTTATTCTAATTGGATTACAATAATATCTAATACTAATCAAGATACAAAAAAGTAACTTTTAGTAAATCCATTTTTAACAAAAAAAAATGTTTGGGTGTGGAAATAGTGGATTGGAACTTCCTTGAGACCCAAATGAAGGACTTGTAACAACTCCAAACGAGGAGTGGAACGATTTTAGACAACTTTCCAAATTTTGATATATTTGATTAGTGCCTAAATTTTATTTTTAAAATAAAAAACTGCTGAAAAAAATCAATTGATACATAAATAAACTAAAAAAATTAGTTAAATCATATAATTTTGGAGTTATCTTTTTAATCAAAGATCCCAAACTCTTGGTAGAGATGATTAAAAAGTCTAAAAATGTTCTTGCTAAAACAAAGAGTACATGAGATTTAATTGATTATATTTTAGAAATTTATGCAATTGGTATAGAATTTGATCTCTTGAATGAAATAATAATCCATTTGGATATATTTTTACTAGGTCCATGAAAATCGTCATTAATAATTATATAAATGACGACTGAGATCATCACAATACAATAGTGCATTAGCTGTTTGCGAATTATATATATATATATACGCACATATAGAGTTTTTCCAATACATATATATATAGATTCACTACATAGTGAACTGTTTAAAACGTGAATATGTGTATTGTCCACAAACAAATAGTATTTGTACTATATATATATATATATATATATAAATAAATTGACCAAGAAGGGTACATGACATTTGGTCAAGATGATCTGTATTCTGTAACCGTTCGAACACATTGGGCTTATAATGTAATAAATTGACCCAAAACTTGACCCCAAACCAAAGGCAAAAGAAAAAAAAAGGGACCTAAAACGACTTCTTCCTTTAATAACTTGTTGTTGTATATGTTGTATCATCTTCTTGTTTGATAGATTTTTCGAATTTCATTAAATGGAGTCGATGATATTTTATATATATATATATATATAATGGATATTATATATATATATAATGTACGAAGATTCGTGTGTCGGTTGCGAGATTCCATATATTGATGTGTATAATCAGATTGCGACTTGTTGTGTAATAATATTTGGAGATGAATCTACATATAAGAATCAACTTACGTGCCTCTAATACCTACAATTAATAATGTGTACTATTTATTAATCGAAGAATCAACTTACCTTTATAAGCAGTATATATATACATATATGCACATACATATACACACACATATACACATATATACATACATATATTGCAAACTTACAAATTTAACTCTTTCAGCGGCCGGTGCTTCATCTCTTCTCTTTGTGTACTCTCTCGACTATGCTCGTACCCGTCTCGCCAACGATGCCAAGGCTGCCAAGAAGGGCGGTGAGAGGCAATTCAACGGCCTGGTCGATGTCTACAGGAAGACCCTCAAGTCTGACGGTATCGCTGGACTTTACCGTGGGTTCAACATCTCCTGTGTCGGTATCATTGTCTACCGAGGTCTCTACTTCGGTCTGTACGACTCCGTGAAACCCGTCGTCCTCACCGGAGACCTTCAGGTTCGTTTTTCTCACACCCAAAAACCGTTATCTGCCGAACGCGAATGTTTTGTTTACGTGATGCGCCCCTTTCTCTATTCGGGTTTCAGGATAGTTTCTTCGCTAGCTTCGCCCTTCTTTCCCCGGAGTTTACTAGTGTATTAGACTATGTCATATATGATATATAATCCATACACATATACGACCACATGTACACATATAAACATGGACTATTTGGTGAACAAGCATAATTTCTTTTGTATATTTTCATGCTAGTACTGTTTTGGATTATTTTTTTTAGCACTTCCGATTTCGTTACAAAATTTTGTATGGTTATAGACTAAATACTTAATAGATTTTTTTTTAAAAAAAACGAAGAAAGACACACATACAAATGCATGGATTGTATATACAACAATTTACAACCTTGCACTTAGGTGCACAAAAATCATGATTCGATGCATCTATGTCAAACCCACGAAAGATGATATGTTTCTAATCATTATCTTAATCTCTTTATACATATATGGTTGGATATATATATCGATACATATACACATATATGTCTCTTTCTATATATACACATACATATATATGCACCAAGCGATTATATACGAGTGTGGAAAGGCTTGTATACTCTAGAAATGGATAAGAATGGGAATGAGAGACCATCAATTCCAATGAAATATTTGACATTGAAAGAGAAAAGAGAGTGGAGGAAAACGAATGGGCGGTGGGGGGAAATTATGAAAGGGAAAAAGAAGGGGGAAGAGGAGGAAGAAGAAGCATACAGAATATGAAGACTCCGATTAATTTAAAATTAAATTAAATTAATAAAAAAATGGAAAATCCAAAAAAGGAAGTGGGAAATTGACAAATGTCTCGTTATTAGAAGCATTTTCCATTTTCCACGGGAGAGTGATAGAGGGATTGTGTGGTTTCCCTCTCATTGAACCAACGACACACACTCTCACTCCCTGAGACTGATGGAGACCATTCATTCGGTTCTCTCTATAATTAATGAATTTATATAAATCCGAATTTCCTGTTCTTATTTACAAACTTGGGCCTCGGGTATTGGAATTTGGGTCTTGGGCCTTGGGCCTTGGGCGTGGGCCCATCATAGGATGGGCCTGTTATAATTACTTCAGAGGTTTAAAACCCATCATTAAAGCCCGATGCTTCCACGCACTGTAATTTACAGTACTGCAATTTCGTAGGTCCAATATTTGCAAATATTATGCCGTATTGGTGTAATTCATCGATATTTATTGTTGTTGTTGTTGTTGTTGTTGTGATTTATTTTGGAAGTGATCGTCTCTATTGTGATTTGTTGTCTATGAAAACTTTATCATGTTTGGATCGTCGTTTTCGGCTAAATCATAGTACTCAATACTCATACAATAAAAGAACATTTTAAATTTGTTATAAAATATCATGAAACTTTTTTTGTTTGAGCCAAAATGGAAACATTTTGAAAAAAGAAATAATATTTTGTTTATAATAATATTATTAACAAAAATTATACATAAAATATTTTATTTTTGAAAAACGCATTCAAGTATTCCTGAATAACGGATTCATATATATATATATATTATTTTTAGTATTTAAACTGTTTATTTTTTCAGACTTTTATCAATAAAATTACTCATCTTATTTTCCCCCATGATTTAGTAAATAAACACCAAAAAATTAGAAATTCAATAATATAGTAAAATACATTTTTATTTGTTTGAATTAAATTTCAAAGATATTATATATATATAATAGAAAATTTATATCTTTTCTAGAAATTACTATAATTCGTATCCTCCTAAGGCTTATTCGATGCTGTTGCAAATTTTTAATAAAGAATGGTAGAAAGAGTCACCTTCTTAGATAGTGATATTGATTTTTATTTTTTTCTTCCATTATTTTATATATATTTTTTTAAATAGCATACATAACGCGGATTCATTATTTATGGTAAATTTTAAAATATAATATATTATTAGGATAATGGCTAATGATTTTGTCATGAAAAACATACCTTATAATATTCAATAATTGTATGTAAAAAAATAAAAGTCAAACATTTGTATCATTGACTTGTTAAAAGATTTGTTAACAAAATAGACAAAAAAATATTGTTGGTAACTTATTATTGACCTATGAAAACTCCGATGGGCCATGCCGACCCATTTTAAAAAAAAAATAATGCTAACAAAGAAAAGAAAAAGCGTCCCTTTATTCTTCTAAAAAGCAAACATGCATTTTATAGCCAATGGAAGCAGAACCAAGCCCGAGGGAATTATGCCTCCAATACCGTGAATAATATATATACAACTTAAATAAATATATTTAGGAAATTAAGGTATTGAAAATTATACAAATGTAGAATTATCATTTTTTTAATTTATAAATGATATACCATTTCAATTGATACCAATTGCTATGACGTTTGTCACTATTGTAATTATTATGTTTCTGAAAAATCCATTAAATGTCATGGCGAGATTCTTTCAAAATACCTAAGAATTCTAAAATTGTCATATATTTTGTTTGTAATGGTTTTGACAGATCCCAAAGTTTAAACTTTAAAATATAACAGGCTACATTTTTTTTAATCTCTAGCTATTTGATTATAAATTAATTATAGTTTTGACTAAAATATTATTGTTATTATAATGTTGATTCACAATTTTTCAAAGAAGTAAATAAATTCGTTTAGTGATAACAAAAATTAGAAAATGAAAATATATTGAATAACTGAAAAACTAGCGAAAACACTAATTTCCGAGATTTTTTTTTTTTGTTTTATGTTCTTTAATATCCATTTTACAAAAAACAACAAAAAGAAAACAAATATAACAGCTCGCCAGAAAGAGTAATATAATATACTTATCTCTTCACGCTTTCAATATTCCTAAAACTACCGAAACGTCATCGTTTTAACAGCTGCCGCACCATGACCAATCCCCAATTATATTCCTGATTTCAATCTCGCACCAAGTTGGCAAGATCAACGGTCAATAAACAGCCAATACGATTCCCAATACGTAGATTTGTTAATGGTTAGAAAAATCAACGGTGTAAAACTTATCAATTCTTTCATCAACAGATCCAACGGCTATACACCCGTGATAAACTTCACGTGCGTCGCAGTGGATTATTCCCTCCCGAGTGGAGACCCTATTTCTCGAGCCAATAAAAAGGCAGAACCATCGCTCTTTTCGAAGCTCACCTATTCACCACAAAGAAAAATCTCTCTTTCTTCGCCTCTCAGCTCCGGCAGAAAAGGGCGGAGAATCTCGCTCCAGGAATTGCGCGTAGCCCATCGATCGCGTGGAAGGTAAGAGATGTTTCTCTCAGATCTGTGTTTTTTTATTGTTTAAATCTCGTCATTGTTCGTATTTGGGGTTTTCGATCTGTTTTCTATCATTCTGTTTGACTCGTAGATCTGAAAAAAAAGGGTAAAATGAGATGGTTTCGAGTTTTGGTGTTTGAGATCTGGAATGTTTGGTTGAGGGGCGTGTGATATGTTTGCATATAGGACCTGGTTTGATTTTTAGCGGTTCCATTTCGTAGATCTGTTTGCGTTTCTTTCATGTGGTGGTTTAGATCCGCGAAATGGTTTATAGATCTGTTTCATATGTTTCGTGTCATTAACTTACTAGCGGTATTGGATCTGTTGTCTCGTATAATCGATGTTATTTGGAAAATCTCTCCTTTTTTCTTGGACCTGCTATTTCACAGGGCACGTTACGGCTTTTTACTGTTTGATTCGTGAGATTTGTTTTTCGACATTTAATGAATTGTATACGTGATACTTGTTCATGAGCTTGGGTTGCAGATTATATTCATGTAGATAGTGATTGGAAAATGAAATGGAAATGGTGGAATGATGATGCTTGCGTGGCTCTATCTAGATTTCACATAATCTTATATTTCTTTCATGTTAATGGTAGAGCCTCGTGCGATGTGTGGTTCGTCAACTTTGTGTAAATGATGTAATTGGAAATGCTTCCTGTGATTGGACATGTTCATTTCAGATTTCGATTAAGACAATCCTGCAGGATTGACGTGTATGCTAGATTGTCCTAATTGCAATTTTCAACTCGTATGATTTTCGTGTATAGTTTGAATCTACTCTATGTCATGCCTTCTTTGTTGTCCAACTCGTATCTGACTTTCGTTAATGTCTCTGTGTCTTGCAGAGGTCAAAATGGTTGATCAAGTTCAGCACCCGAGTGTCATGCAGAAGGCTGCCCACCAGTTCCTGAGGTCGAGCGTTTCTCAGGACATTCACGCCTATGACGGGGTTTTCCAGAGACCTTCGATGTACCAGAGGCGTGCTGCCTATGGAAACTACTCAAATGCCGCATTCCAATACCCGATTGTCCCCTCAAGCCGGGTCACATCCACTGCTTCTCCTGTGTTTGTGGCAGCTCCATCAGAGAAAGGGTTCGCCCACTTCGCCACTGATTTCCTAATGGGTGGTGTTTCTGCCGCTGTATCGAAGACTGCTGCTGCACCCATTGAGCGTGTGAAGCTTTTGATCCAGAACCAGGATGAGATGCTCAAGGCTGGCAGGCTCTCTGAACCGTACAAGGGTATTAGTGACTGTTTCAAGAGGACGATCCAAGAAGAGGGATTTGGTTCTTTGTGGAGAGGAAACACTGCCAATGTCATCCGTTACTTCCCCACTCAGGTCGGTGATGCTCGGCCCTCTCGTGCGTATTTCCAACACACTTGAGCACTGACCAAGTATGATTACAATGGCTAATCCCTTTTCTTGTTCACTTTAGGCCTTGAACTTTGCATTCAAAGATTACTTCAAGAGGCTCTTCAACTTCAAGAAAGACAAGGATGGCTACTGGAAGTGGTTCGCCGGTAACTTGGCATCTGGAGGAGCGGCCGGTGCTTCATCTCTTCTCTTTGTGTACTCTCTCGACTATGCTCGTACCCGTCTCGCCAACGATGCCAAGGCTGCCAAGAAGGGCGGTGAGAGGCAATTCAACGGCCTGGTCGATGTCTACAGGAAGACCCTCAAGTCTGACGGTATCGCTGGACTTTACCGTGGGTTCAACATCTCCTGTGTCGGTATCATTGTCTACCGAGGTCTCTACTTCGGTCTGTACGACTCCGTGAAACCCGTCGTCCTCACCGGAGACCTTCAGGTTCGTTTTTCTCACACCCAAAAACCGTTATCTGCCGAACGCGAATGTTTTGTTTACGTGATGCGCCCCTTTCTCTATTCGGGTTTCAGGATAGTTTCTTCGCTAGCTTCGCCCTCGGGTGGCTCATCACCAACGGTGCTGGACTCGCATCGTACCCGATCGACACAGTCCGTAGAAGAATGATGATGACGTCTGGTGAGGCAGTGAAGTACAAGAGCTCGATGGACGCCTTCTCTCAGATCCTGAAGAACGAGGGAGCGAAGTCGCTCTTCAAGGGGGCCGGTGCCAACATCCTCCGTGCTGTGGCCGGTGCCGGAGTTCTCGCCGGTTACGACAAGCTGCAGGTAATCGTCTTCGGCAAGAAGTACGGTTCCGGCGGTGCCTAATTACTCTCCCTCTCCCCCAACATGATTTAAAGGGTGCAAACACCGAACGCTGTTGCCGAGGTTTGCAGTTTCCCAAACTTTAAAAAAAAAAATCGGTTTTTTGTTCCGGCTCAAGAGGATGTTGATGAAATCTTCTTTTTTTTTTTGTTTTGTTTTTTTCGTGAGACTAGAGGAAGGGGAAAGGAGAGATTAATCTGATTTATCGGATAAAAAATTTTCCATGTGGAATAATAATTCATGTCGTTGGGAGAGTGGATGCATAACTCTCTCCTTGGAACCGTTTATGAAAGTGTTCTCTCTAGGGTTCGTAATTTGCTCTCTGTTGTGAGGATATGTTATATTTTTTGTCTGCTTTCTGTTTTATTCATATAGTTGGGTTTCTGGTGCCGTAATTTTATTGCTGTGAAATGTTAAAGTTACTGTTTTTCCGTTGGTTGAATTCTTAGAAACTTGTTCCACCTTTGTTGTTGTTTGTTTTTTAAACCTATTAGTAGTTTTTAGAAAAGCAGTTGGTATTGGATCCAATAGGAAATGTCGAGTTTCGAGTTATTTTCGAGATTGATTTTTAAAAATTTTGTTAGTTTTTTTTTTAATTATTTTTGTTTGAATTCTCTGTGTTTATATTTGATTTTACAGAGTTCGATCTAGATATTCATATGTGATTTATAAGACTTGATTTATATAAAAGCCCATGTTTTTTTCGAAATCATATCTGGAAGGTGTAACAATGTGACATGTTGGGGGAAATTTATATTTTATGCGAATGAAATTCTTTGCCCACATGGCTTGCATCTGGCATATGCCCGCCCATGTTAGCAGCTTTGGTGCGTGGACTCGATACAATTCAGACAAAAGATTTGTGATACGGATTCATTTTGCATAAGTTGAGTCTTCTTATAGCATGTACTCTGCATTTATGCATGTATACAATTCTGCGTTAAAAGAAAATTACTCAAATTTTGGCTAAAGAAACAAACGTAATCACGATGAGGTAACTCAGAATTCATGTTAAACACAACATCTTATTGAACGATATACCGACGCTCTCTCTCCCTAAAGACAAGGTTTAACAACTCGAGAAAAAAAGAGTAAAAATGTCGAAATGGACGAACCCTATAAACAAACATTCTCTGTGTTTTTTTTTTTATTTTATTTTGCAAGTGACGAGTCTAATCTCGAGAAGAAGAGCTGCAGAGGAGAAAATCCAAGAACCTGGACCACACGTGCCTGGCGCGTGGATAGACCCTAGCCGTGTACAAGCTCGTGTCCCTCATCATGTCCTCCATCGTCTCCACGAAGAGATTGAAGCTTCTGACCGGTGGAATATACAGCGTCAGAGGCACCGCCGAAAACGCCACTGTGAAGAACAGCTCCAACATCACCAAATCTTCGATACCCAGATTTCAGATCCTTGATTCAGTTTATAAACTCTCTCTCTCAGATCTCTTTCTGGGGGGTTTGTGTTTGAAGATCTCTCGCTCTAGGGTTCCTTTTCCTTGGTGGGTTTTATGTGATGCGATGAAAGATTCAAGAATTTTGAAGAAAACCACGGATAATTTGCAAGGAAATAAATTCAATATTTTTTTTGTTCTGAAAAGGTTTAAGATTATCACGGAGAGAGGAAGAACGATCTAGAAAACGAGAGAACAAAGAAACAAAACCGAAGGTCTTGAAGATGAGATTAGGACACGGTGTTCAGGACGGGTAGAGCTAGAAGCCTAAAGACGTGTCTGTGGGGCCACGTGGCTTTTTGGCACGACCTCCACCGTTCATCATTTTTTTTCCTTAATAATCAAATAATGAATTATTAGACATCTGTGTAATATCATTGAATGAGATTAGCATTTTTTTTTGTACGTTTTTAAAATAACGAAAGTATACGGATTTTGGGTTTTTTTTTTTTAATCACGTTGTATGATGGTCGAAGAAAAGAAACAAACGACCATAATATTTTTTTCATATGAAATAAATCATGCGAATTAATTGTTCATGAATAGTACACGTCACTCATGAATAGTACACGTCACTCATGCATGATTTGATAATTCTTTCCAACTAAAATCCTGAGATTATAGAAAGAAATCAAACGCACTTGTAACGATTAGGGTTAGACCCATAAAAATCGAACGATACTGTTTTTAGAAAATACAATAATATCTCATGATCCAACCGGACCGAACCAAATATATATCATGTCACTATGATTATATATAGTTCTTTGCCCTCATTAATATTATAATTCAAATTTATATGACTTAATTCATCGCCTATATAGTTTAATACAAGTAAATAACTTTGACCGGTTCTTCTTTGGCGACAAACGTGTTGGTGGACTTATTAACAACTGAATTGACATCGACTGTTATGGTCTTCGATAAAATGTAATACCATCATCTTTATATCAAACCTGAATCCCTGAATATTAAATTTATTTATTTTTACCAATAATAAATGGGAATTGTGGGTCGGCAAAATGCATGGATGTGTTAAGGCCGATAACACTATAATGGGCCCTTTGAAGGCCCAAATAATACATAAAAGCCCAATAACGTTACGTTCTTTGAAACCCCGTTATACCGTCTCACCGATTTGCTTGCGACTGCTGTTCGTCGTTGGGGCAAAGCATAGTCCTCGAAAGTTTACCACTCCGATTTCTAGGGTTTTCATTTTCTCTGTATCCGAAGAAAAATTGCGATGGCTGGTCGTTTCAGATCGACGTTCTCTCTCTTCAACAGGATCTCGAGATCGGACACTCTATCCTCCGTTGGATACTTTCGCCGCGCATCGCCGCTTATCCCTCAGGTTGGTCGAATTTCGAGAAATCGACGGAGGAAATCGTATTTTGTCTCTTCATGGTTACGCACAAAATATGATTGATCTGTTGGGTGGAACTCATTATGTTTATGAATTGGGTTGTATTTGGTTGGTTTTCTTCAGATCGATCGATTTTGATAATCTATTTGTTAGGTAGAAGAACAGGAGAGACCGGCAGATTTCCCAGTTATTTTTTGCAGAAAATGTTTCTGGGATTTCGTATACTGGCCTTTTAGTAATTCAGGAATTCTGCCATTGATTCTCTGCTACTGTCATTGTTATCATTCTCAGATAATCCTGACGCTGCTCTCTCTCTCTCTCTCTCTCTTGTTTTTCTTTTTATGTATCTTATAGATGTCAATCTTTCTATTGTGTTGTTTATCGCAGTTGACCAGTGGTTTCGCCTCTGCTTCGGGTCAAAAGGGCGGTGATGTTAAGGTGATTGATGCTTGTGCTTGTTATCTCATACACATTTCTTCGAAGCTATGGCTTTTCTTGTCGATCTTAGAGTTTGCCCCAATGTGATTTGTTTTAAGTGATGTTTGTGTTTTTATTTTTCCATCAAGACATTTTTCTCACCACAAACGGAGTGTTTCTTAAAGAACAAATGAATCTATGGATAGTTGAATTTGTTTTTTTATTAGTTGGGTGTCTGTTCCCTGGCGAGATGGGGATTTCTTGTTTTCACTGTGGATTGCGCTTACCTGTTCAGGTGCCCCTGGTTTTGACCGGTGAATCAGGGAAATATGCTACAAGCTTATACCTTGCAGCTGTGAAAACCAATGTCTTGGACAAGGTTGAGTCAGAGCTTCGTGCAGTTGTTGCGGCAACAAAGTCTAGCCCAACCTTTGGACAGTTTACAAAGGATCTCTCGGTTCCTAGGGATACCCGTGTTAAGGCTATTTTCGACATTTGCGAGCAAGCTAAATTTACTGAGATCACGAGGAACTTCCTTGGTAGGATACTAATTTATAATGAGTCTTGTGTCATTATCTTGTTTAATGATTTTGGCTTTGAATGGTATGATAGTAGTTTTTATTTTGAGTTTTTGGCTTTAGTTTTTAGTTTTTGGTTTTTGGTTTTGTAAATCCAAAAAAAGGGGAGTTTTTTTAGTTTTTAGTTGATATTTTCTTCAAATTGGTTTTCCAAGTTTTTAGGAAAACCAACTTTATAAAAACTTGAATGGTTATTTTTTGGTTTTTAAAATCCAAAAACTCTGGAAACCCCAACCATTCATAGCCTTTGGCAGGCATTATCATTTTTTGATAAAATGTTTTTTTGTTTGCTAAATAGCTATCTTGGCTGAGTCTGGGCGGCTGAAGAACATTCAGAGCATCTTGGGAAGATTTTTTGAGCTCACCGAGGCACACAGAGGAGATGTCAACGTTTTGGTCACCACAGTTATGGTAAGTTTAAGTTCATATATTTTTTTCCCAGAATCATTATAATGCAAGTGCATTTACTTGTCGATTATTATCTGGACCGATTTTCCTCGTGGAAGTGAAGGCTGGTTTTGTTAATTTCCTCGATAAATCTGTTTGGATAAACAGGCTCTTCCCCCCGCGGAGGAGAAGGAACTGAAAGAGACACTCCAAGATGTAATTGGACAAGGGAAGAAGGTTACAATCAAGCAGAAGGTAATACATGTTCGATAGCGTCATAATCTAATGCTGGAAATAGAATTTCTGACCCTTTTTCATCGGTAATTTTTCCAGATTGATCCCAGTATTTACGGTGGGCTCATCGTGGAGTTTAACCAGAAGGTGCTCGATATGTCCATTAAGACGAGAGCAATGCAGATGGAGAGGCTCCTCCGTGAACCAATTGACTTCAGCAACCTCTGATCACCCTGCATCGGACCTTTCTTTTTTCAGGTTTTTACCCCTTGTTCCTAAATGAAAATTTCCGGGGAGCGATAAAAATGTCCTCATCTGTGCCATTATTTTGTTCACTTTCTGTTTGTGCTATGCATTGTTGCTGGGCATCACGAATCAATTAACGAATAAATGCCCCTCTCCTTTCGGATTTCTTTCGTGAGATCACTTGTTTAGCAATTTTTTGGCACATAGGGCTGGCACTGGTCGGGTACTCAGGATTTTGGTGATATCTAACCTCAAACCCGTGCCCCTGTGGGTCTGTGGTCCATGAATGGCCCAAATGCTCGGGTATTTAGCCGATGAGGTGGTACAAGTTTTTTTTGGCAGAATCCCTCATATGCGATGCGCAGTATGAACGCATTGTGTTCTCTCGTGGCACCGACACTCGAATCGTAACTGCTAATGTTTCTGTTGTTTGTTGATACCAACCTCTTTGTTGACCCAAGTCATAAGATGCCGACCATTGCTTTTACAATTGATTAGGGTGATAATACTATGGCCCCGTATTAAGTAATTTAGATTTCATATGAGATTCGAATCAACGGTATAAGATCAAACCGGCACTGAGAGTCTTGTTGTATAACACTTTATTTTGGTATCATGGGACATGGATTAGTGGTATAGTATGCATGAAGGAAATAATACATGAAGATAAGCTTGACAACGCATCAAGATAGTGATGGTTCCAACTCTTCATGTTAGGGTTTCTTCGTTGCTTCTCATATAATGCCCCTTAAGCTTATCATGTCAAAAATACTCTTGTCTAAAACATAATTTTTTTTATTATACACATTAAGATATCGACCATATATCATATTTACAAGAGGGAAATTAAATTGAGGTTATATATATGAAGTGAGTTCTACATTATTTTTGTGAATGTAGTTTGGGTCGCTTTAATTGGTGTCGGAGAATGGAAGTTGCTTGGAAATCAGCCAAATGATACTGTCGGATACGAAACTTTCCGTTTTAGGGTGGCCATATTTAGCAAAGTGTACTACAACATCGTCTCTGATCTCTACGAAGCCTTGAGCCATTTCATCCTTCAAACACACGTGTGTCCAGAGAGAGAGAGAGATGGGTCTTCTTGTCTTTGACTCTAACCAGTCTTTTTCGATGCATTTTTCTTCACTCACAAGTCTGTCATCATGCTTTTACGAACACACAAAAATAACACCCAATTCTTGCTTCTTCTTCACATCATCATCTCTCTCTCTTGATCACCTTCCAGTCCGTTCTCGTCTCTACCCATCAACCCCAACCAACACCTCTCTCTCTCTCTCTCTCTCTCTCTCTCTCCTATCCAAGTACTCGTATTCATATCATTAAAGCAATTCCCACAAAGGCATCATCACATTCTCCCCCACAATTCATCGGACCCTTTCTTGTTACAGTCTCTATCTCTATCGATTATCTTTCGAAACATTGTTGTTTATGTTCGCTATACCTCTCTTCTTATCTCCTCGAACTAAACTCAAAAGGGTCTAAGGAAGGGTTGATTTATAATTTAGTCTCCGCATTGATGATGATGATGAGGAAAGCGGATATGATCATCGAAGACAGCAACACAGCGACCAACATTATGAACGGTAATAATAACAACAGCAGCAAGGCAAAGTTAAGAAAGGGACTGTGGTCTCCGGATGAAGACGAGAAGCTGATAAAGTACATGTTGACCAACGGACAAGGCTGTTGGACCGACATTGCTAGGAATGCTGGTCTCCAACGTTGCGGTAAGAGTTGTCGCCTTCGTTGGATCAATTACTTGCGTCCTGACCTCAAACGCGGCGGCTTCTCTCCCCAAGAAGAGGATCTCATCCTCCATTTGCATTCCATTCTTGGCAATAGGTTCATTACAATCAATTTCCATCACTTGTTTTTTTTTTCCTATATACATATATATATATATATATATTGCATAAATATCCGTGGATGCCCTGCGGGACACAAAATAAATTATACATAATATAAAATTAGTGTATCGAAACATTTTCAGGTGGTCTCAGATAGCTGCTCGGCTTCCCGGTAGGACCGACAATGAGATCAAGAACTTTTGGAATTCAACATTGAAGAAGAGACTGAAGAACAATAACAGCACGTTGTCCTCGTCATCATCAATATCATCATCACCTAACAACAGCAATAGTAATTCGATGGAGCCAAGAGATCAACAACTAGACATTGGATATGGGTTAACTCAAACGAATGGTCATCGTGATGACATGATGATGGGCATGCCCATGTCCATGGACTCTTCTTCTTCTTCATCGCTTTCCTGCAACTTCCAACCAATGGTTAGCAACCAGTTTGATCCCTTGATGATCTCCATGATGGATAACCAGGTGGGAAATACAGGAGACATGTTCAACGTTAATGGCTTAAGCGATTGCATTCAAGTTCCATCGGGTGATTATGGTAATTCAATTCCAGATTCAACCAGTAAGAGCGGATCAGTTGAAGGCGAATTCTCTGTTCTTCCTCCGTCAGAGGATAGAAGCAGCATCAACGATACAAATATTGTTGCTTGCAGCACAAGCAACAACGGATATATGGACATAGATACTTGCTTTTGTAGCAGAACCGAGGGCCATTCAGACAGCGTCGAGATGGGTAACATGTTGAGGATGGAGAACCCTAAAATCGGAGATTGGGATTTTGATTGTCTCATGGAAAACATCTCATCTTTCCCTTTCCTTGATTTCCATGTTGAATAATAGCATACCCCAAATCTCTCTCTCTCTCTCTCTCTCTCTCTCTCTCTCTGGTTCAAGTGTTTATTCTTCCCTTATCACTTCATTGGATCTTATTTTCCTCTTAATTTTCCATTCTTTGCTACGTTTTCTTTTTGGTAAAGCTCTTCTTTTTCTCTTGATTAATTTTGTCTATTTTCAATTATCCTTCATTTTCCCGGTTATATATATATGTATATGTGTGTGTGTGTGTGTGTGTATCAACAAACATACATACATATGTACAAGCTCATATGCAAAATTTACTTTGTAGTGCATGCACCATTGCATGGTTCGTGTAGTTTGCAAAAGAAATGTGAATAGGAAGATGCGTATATAAAGATATTATTTTCCATATGAAAGAAAATAATGGGCCACCTACTGATGAGTTGATTAGTTGGTGAATTTGTATGCCCTTTTTTTCTTCATGCATGTACAAATCTCAAAGTCGGTTCATGATCTTGCACCAAATATAAATTTAATACGATATTTTGTTGATTTCACCATTCTTCTCCATTTCAATATCTTGCTTCATAGATTGTGAAACAATGCAATAAACATTTTGATATATATATATATATATATATATATATATATATTGTGTATATGGAATGCTCCATACATTAAGATATTTCAAGTGAATTTCTGTTTTTATAACTCTTAAGCATATGGGTCCTAGAGAGGCCAAATCACTCCGAATAATTGTGTACTTTTTTAGAGATTTCCTCATTCGTAAGGAACATATAATGGAAGATTTCAGATATTAGTTATTTAAAACATGCGGTTTTTAGAATTGAGTGGAATGATCTAATAGAAACATTTTGTAAATGATGAGACCGAATTTTTTTATTTTATTTTTCTGAATATAGTATTTTCTTGATTTTTTTAGAAAACCGAAGATGAAGTAAGATACTCCCTCCGTTTCAAAATATTTGTAGTTTTAGTTTATTTTCTATGTTTCAAAATATTTGTCATTCTACATTTCCAAGATAGCTTTTTACAATAGTTTCCAATTTTATCCCTCACAAATTCCAATAAATTATTAGTGATAACATTATTTTTATCATTAAATAAGGTTATAAGTGTCTTTTTCTGTATTTTCTAAAAAAAATGTGAAAAATTCTAAAACTACAATTAATCTGAAACGGATGGAGTATATAGTAGACCAAGAGGAGGAGAAAAAAGAAAGGAAAAAACCATTAAAACCCATCAATTAATTAATTTATATCAAGTTATTAATATATGAAATTTAGTTTTAACATTATAGTACACTAGTATTAAAATTTCATATATAAGCATGAAGATTAGTAATTAAGAGTCTCCTCCGTTTCATGTCTTCAATCAAAACCAACCGAACCTTATCGTTCCACTTGGTCTTTAAAACCCTCCAAATGTTTCAGCGGCTTCACCATGGATACCTAAGAGAGTCTGAAACTGTTTACTGACAATAACAATAATGTAAAAATTTGTAATATATATATATATATATAGTCGAAATAACGAAAGGTTTACAGGCTATGATACTAGACACGAGAGAAATTAAAAGTGGGCCCGACATGTATCTTGGGATGTAAGCAAAAAAGCTGAAATGCCATAATTCCACGTTATAATTTCACGTAGATATACTGTAATATAAAATAAAATATTATATGCATTTACAATATGTAACGACTAACGAGCATATAATATCTTCGCTATTATGGCTAATCATTACCTCATATGGTCTAACCTTGTGTACTAATATATCCTCTCTTAAAGCTCACGTTAAAGTTAACATTCCCATCACACACGCATTGTCGCACATACATTAATTTTCCCTTACCAAAATAAATTAGTTTTTTTTTTTTAATATATATTGTATACATATCCTTTTTATGTATAAATATACGTGATTTTCTTCTTTATCCCAGAAAATAAAATTTGAAAGTGACCAAATCTATTCGTTTTATCGTTAAACATTTTTCAAAATCACTTATAAGTACCTAAAATCATGTCCAAGATCTTAAAAATACGTATATTTAAATGATGGGAAAATTACTTTTGGATTTTAGATATTTATACATGTAAATGATATTTTAGATATTTTGTTTACTCTTTTATTAAGGTTTTTTTGTCAACACAGTTAAAGTTGATTAATTTTTTTCACGGATTAAAAATTTATTAACAAATACTCCATAATGAATGTAAAGGTGGACAACGCATGTTTGTGTGTGGGACAGGAGGGAGAGTCTTTATCTTCTTTTTTTCGTTCAGAGACTTGAATTATATTTACTTCACTATAAATGCAAACGTGGGGATCTCCCCATCTCTGTTGATTTGAGAGCCCACTTCCTGAACAAGAGGTCGTGGGTTCAACACCCAGAGTATGGAGATTTCCCCTCCGGCCACCTTCGGGTGCTTCACATCCCACACGTGTGGTGCCGGTTGTGCGTGTGGGTCGGGATTAGTCTGGGTCCTTTGGGCCTAGGATTACCCGGTTATAAAAAAAAAAAAAAAATGCAAACGTGAAAAACTCATGAGAGAGAGAGAGAGAGAGAGAGAGAGAGAGAGAGAGAGAGAGAGAGAGAGAGAGAGAGAAATATTTT